TTTTTTAATATATTTGAGAATTGTGCATACATTATTATAGTACTATGAACTATATTAAAATATACTACATACTTAGCAATCTTAACTAAATTCCAGTAATCATGTCATCCTCTTATAAGAATATTCGATTTCTATACAGCAGCAGAACGTTTAGAATGGCATGCAGCGAAATTCCTGATTCACATTCGTGAGACGTGCAAAGTATCTCATACTGCTATCGAGCACATTATTGATGGAATACAATCTCTGTTAACCGAGTTTTCATCAGGTATCTTAGTACGTATTCTTTTTAAATATTTAGACTGATGAAGGGATTCTGTTTCTCAGTCAAGTCAAAGATATTAATTTTTCTATTATTTAACAGTATTTTTGCATCAATAGAAAATTTTTATTTCAGGAGCAGGTGAGCAGAGAGGTTCACCCAGAAACAGGACTGATTCATTTTGATGTATTACAACAAATGTACAAGGAAACATTTCCTCCGTCCCTTCTGTTTTCATCAGTAGACTCCAAGCATAAGCTCGATAAAATTCTCACACAAAAATTTAACATGGTGATTCCAGAAAAAACTTTAGTTGGAACAGATCTGGTGTGGAAGTGTAAACATCCCACCCCAGGTGTACCTGATCTCATAGAAAAAGAGGTATATGCGTATACAGTGCCATTTTTATCTAATCTTAAAAACCTGCTATACAATGATGAGGTGAGGTTTTGTGTCGACAATCCCAGATTGAAGGAGAACAATGTATATAGGACTGTCTTGGATGGTTCTTCTTACCAGAATAATGATTTTTTCCGAAAAAACAGAAATGCTATTGCAATCATTTTGTTCTATGACGATCTTGAGGTGGTAAATCCTCTCGGAGCAAACATCAAAAAACATAAACTCGCAATGTTTTATTGGACTTTGGCGAACATTTACCCAGAAGTACGGTCTACATTGAAAAATGTTAACTTGTTGTCAATAGTGAAGCATAGTGTATTAAAAAAATATGGCGTAGGTAAAATCTTGGAATCTTTCATAACAGATATAAAAGTATTACAAAATGAAGGAGTCACAGTAAATGTGAAAGGAGTAGAGAAAGTCTACAAAGGATCCCTATTATTTGTAGCTGGAGATACTCCTGCTTCAGCATTCATGGGTGGTTTCAAAGAATCAGTATCAGCCTACCGCCCTTGTCGTACATGCATGACAACTCAAAATGAGTGGAGGAATTCATTCTCAAGTGAAAACTTTATTCTAAGAGAGAAAGAGAGCCATCAAGAGTATGTACGTGTTGTTACAGAGCCTCATCTCAACAAACGGACTAGAGCATTTTGGTCGAGAAGATATGGAGTTACAAATAGGAGTGCGTTAATGGATATCCCAGAATTTGATGTTACGAAATGCGTGCCACAAGATGGAATGCATGTTTTGGCTGAAGGTGTTGTGGAAGTTCACTGTAGAGCGTTTCTCAGATACTGTATAGTGGAGAAAAGAATATTTACTATTGATGATCTCAATTCAAAAATGAGGAACTTCAACTTTGGGCATTTGAAAAGAGATGCACCTGCATCTCTATTAGAAGTACATCTTGACAATGGTCTCCGACAGAGCGCTTCTCAAATTATTGTTTTAGC